AAATATAGCTTACTAATACAAGTTTCTGAGTATTTTCTCCCTCTCTATTCATATATATTTTTTAAATTGTTTTCTTTTGTAATATCACAAATACTTTTTCTTACAATATCCTTAAAATTAATTGTCATCTGTTATAAAAAAATAATAATTTTGTTATGAATGCCACAAGTGCTTACATATAGTAATTCATTCTATTATTTTAGTATGACAGAGATAATTTTAGAAGAACAGTATAAATTTCTAACCACTTTATTGTTTTTTAACTATTTTTCACTAACTGTTTTCAGTTATATAAATCATTTGAAAGAGCATTATATAAGGAAATGTTAATTAGGGAGGTTTGATTATTATGTTAATATAAATGAATTATATATTTCATTAGTTACATTTCAAATGTTCTCTTTTTATTTGATATTTTAAAATATTCAAAATAACATTAATTTTTAAATATATATTTTCATATATTCTATATATATATATATATATATATATATAATTTATAAAATGAGTAAAATTTATTACATTTCTTAATTTCAATCCTTAAAGAACCTAGAAAATAGAGTATTAAAGTAGATAAATGTTTTAAAATAATGAGACCGAGTATTTTATTTTAAAATAAATCGATAATATAAATAGAATTTCTTAAACTCGTTTCATTACTTAAAACATAAACCATCTCTCTAAAATTGTTCCTCCTAGTTCTCTCTCACTTCTCTCTAAGATATTTGATTCATCGATCATCTGTTTGACGATCAGAAAGTTCTTAGGAGATCACGACTGAGTAATCTTCACTCTCTACTAATCAGTTCTTGGTTTAAAGCAAATAAGTTTCTACCCCTTTTTCCATTAATTATCAGGTGTTGATCATGCTAAGGAAACCTCTTTCACATGTATCAATTGTGTTCCTTTCTTGATTCTTTGTCAATTGATGGTCCTAAGGACTCTTTCCTATCATAATCTGGTGATTTGTAGGTGTTTATAGAATTCCTTGTGTGGGAAGCAAATGGAGTACATTCTTAGAGTTGTGGTAGCTTTCTTTTAAGATAAAGGAAGTTAGTCTTTTTCTTTAGATTATGGTTATTATGTATGTTTAGCAATTTCATGAATGATGAATTGATTTTAATTGTGATTTACAATATTGATTTTAATTGGTTACTTTAAATGAGTGTATTTGATTATTTGTATGAGTGATTTTGGTATTATGTGACTTTGATATACTTACTATCATGAGTATTATGTCTTACAGTTGTATAGATGTTTGAAATGGAGGTTTTAATACGTGAGTTTGTAAGATAATGGTTGAAGAAGGAAATATGATATTTTAGGTTTGTCTTGATGTTTCAATAAACATGTTTAGAGGTTAAGTTGAATTAAAAAGTTATTATGAAGTTGTTAATGGTTAGTAGGTTGTTTCTATGGCATTCTAGCCTATTTTGTAGGTTATAACTAGTGAAAACTTGAAATAGGAAGGCTATGAGGAAACTAAGGTTTAAGAGTGTGTTATTATGACTTATTCATGTTGTTACTTTGCAGAATTTGGGGTTGGAAGGTGTAGAATGGAGTTTGAGTATGCTTAAAGTGGTTAAATTGGGTTTGAGGTAGTTAATTTGAGCTAGAAATGTGTTTTCCAATGTTTCTTAGTGCTTAGGAGGTGTTAGGATGAATTAAACATGTGTAGAGAATGTCTAAGGTCAAATTTGAAGTGTAATAAGTTCTAGTGTCACGTTGAGTGCCCTCTTAGCGCTCTTTTTACGCAAGCTTTGGGCCTAAGTGCCCTTGAGTGCCCTTTTTACCCAAGCTTTTGCCCTTAGCGCCCCTTTAGTGCCCATTTAACACCCTTTTTGCTCAAGCTTTGGGCCTAAGCGCCCCTAGGCGCCCTTTTTCAGTGAGTTTAGTGCCTGGGTGTCCCATTCCAAGCGTTGGGCGCCATTTTGTAGGTTTTTAGTTTTCCAGTTTCTAGGTTGTTCTATGATATTTAATACACTATTTTGGATACTGTGATGAATGTGTAATGGTCTTATGTGAGTTTCTGATGCGTTCAATGAAGTTATATATATTTATGAATGAAAAGTGGTGTAAAAGAGTTCCAAGGAGGAAATTCTTGTTGGTGGTTTCAAGTATTGTTAGTATGAATGCAGGGAGCTTAATCTTGAGGATTATCTCGAAACTCTAAATACTCATTCATTCTCATTTAGAGAAGATTGATACATGTGTTTAGAGTAGTAGGATCTCTTAGTCTAAGTGCTTCTAGTATGGCCTAAGATGCGGTATAGAGTAATCTTGTGAGTGTGGTAGGGTGAAACCCATTGACAATGACTTTGGAAAGTAGTAGAGGCCACCACAAGTGCACAACTCACCATAGCTCGACATTCATACTAAATCCGAATAGTCCAGTCTAGTTTTGTAGGGAGGATCAAAAGACTTATAGTTTTTTTTAAAACTAGTAGATGTATATAGTTTTGTTGTAGTTAGTTGTATATAAAGTTTGTTTTGTGGTTATGTTAGATGACGGTAAATTAACTTTATATTTTTGTCTGTTAATTGATCTATTTTATTGATTTTGTGATACTTCATTTATAGTTTAATATTATATTTTTTTGGATGTTACATGTTACAATAAAACAAAGTAGTTGATAACTTTATACAAAAGTTAGTGTAAAAATATTTTTGATGAGATTTGCTTAATTTTTTTTGTATGTTTTTATTTTTTGTTTAATAAAAGAACATAGTTCTTTGTAGACTCATAACGAATTAAAATACTGAGTTTCTCTCTATATAATAGACAATTTCTAAAAATACTTCCGATATATTTATCTATGTAAAAATGAAATCATAGAAAAAAACACACATTTTTTATGCTCACTTGTTTTTTAAACAAAAAAAAATTATAGTTCAAATTTTAGTCATTATATTTTAAAAATAATGGTTTAATCCTTGTAGTTTTCAAACATGAGTTTAGTCCCTAATCAAGTCATAAAGAATCATAGAGTTATAAATAAAGTTAGCAAATTTTAATACAAGAACCAAACTACAAATTTTAATATAGGCCGATTAAAATATGTTAAACCAAAACATGAATTTTTTGAAACAAATGTCTTACAACTTAGTAAGATGTGTCACAATTAAATTTTATTTGTTATAGTGAATAAATGTAGTCTTTTTATATTTTATGTGTCAAACATCGATTTAGATTGGAATTTTAATTTTATAAATCATTTGACATATTTTAAGTCAAATACTAATTTATAACATTGTTTAATATTTTAAATTAATTTGATTGGTTAAATAAAATAATATTTATTCATTTTAAAGATTAAGAAATAAAATATATAAATAAACTAATTCGAATGTTTTATCAAATTTAAAAACTGTATTTAACCTTTATTGATTTTGATGTTAAATTATCAAATCTAAAATAAAAACAGAACATATTTATTATTTGTTATTTCCTTAAACCAAATTTTCGTTAGATATAAAATATTAAACAAATAATTGAATGTGTGAAAAATCCATAGTTGCTATCATTTAATTAGTGAGATACTGTTAAATTTTTAGAACACTTGCTAAATATCTAAAACAAATGTTTTTTAAAATTTTATATTAAAAGATTTAACTTTTCTATTATATTAATCTAATATTGATAAGTTTTTGTTATTAATACAAAATATTCACGTACTTTATTAATTTAAATTGAATTTTTTTGTTAATCATCTTTAATCAAATCTCCTCATCACCAACGTTGAATCCAATAATGTAACATTGATAGTTGATTTCTTATGAATGAGTAAAATTTATTATTTTATCCCTTGAATGATTTACTAGCCAATCCCACGTTATAAATTCAAACCTCTTTTATCATTACTTTTTTTTCCATTGTGACTAATAAAAAACACCCCAAGACCACACTATTAATTAAAGTTTCTCATTGTCAATTTCATAGATTGAACCAAGTTTCATAGTTCCTTTTTGGAGCAATTATCAGTGTGATAGAAATGCCTTTATTGTTACCTTATCATCATTGTAAATGGGAAATGAAAAGTGCAATTAATCATTCATGTAAAACAGAAAAAAGGAGTGAAATTAATTGATTTTTGTAATGTTATACAAATTTGTATAATTGAGTAAAGAGTAATCTTTACTTCACATCTTTCAAGATTTGTGGTGCTAATTGCTACACATTGCAAGTGAAGTTATTAGAAAGGCAATACCGTTTATAACAAAAACTTTAACCAAAAATAAATACATAGACACTTTCATTTGTTATGTTCTTTCGTCTTTGATAATATACCACATTTTGTGACTATGATACTTAATTTTCCTTTGTTATCCATGAGGAATTAGTTAAAACAAGTTAATCAAATTTTTAATGTGCAAAACAGAATGCTAAATAAAGTGAACCATCATGAGATAGATGGCTAGCCAACTTTTCTTCTTTATGTTTCGTCATTAAAATTGAAAGTTCTTCTATTTAGATGATGAAAAACATAAATGTGAATAAAAAAATAGTTAAATATGATTTTATTTTCATGAAAAATTAGATTTTATTTTTATCTTAATTTTGATATATTTTAAAAATAAATTAATATAATTCTCTTAATTTAATTGTATTAATTTTTTTATTTAATCGGTGTTTTAGACTGATTTTTAAATTATTTATATTATATATTGATGTTTAAATGTCAATTTGAAATATTATTTAATATTTTTATTCATTTTTAAAATTTGAAAATAAAATATATTAAAATTTAAAATATAAACAAATTTTAATTTTATATATAAGTTTAAGGATTACATATGGAAAAAAAAAACTCCAATTTTCATTCTTATGATAATTTTTTAGTTACTCAATTTTAATAATTTATAAAATAGTATTAATATGCTCTATCATAATTTGTAGCATGTATTCATGAAAAAGGGTGATAGATTCATCTAAGAATTCAGTCTAATTGGTTCCTCTAATAAAGAAATATTAAATTATATTGATAATCTAACTGTGAGAGTGTGTATAGTGAAAGAATGAAACAACCCTTCCTTTTGTACTTTGTTGTTTCTAAACTTCCTTCTTATACTCATTCCATTATACTGTGCAGTACCTTCTTCTCTTTCTGGGAGTGGTGAGCAGAGTGAGAAGCCAAAGTGGAAGAGGAGAAAAGGGTTTGTGTTGTGAGTGATGAGAGTGTAAGATAAAACTCAGAAGGGGATACAACCACAGCACATGGAAGAAGCAGAAAAGGAGTTAGAGAGAAGGAGCAAGTTTCTGAGCAGTTTGATACAGAAGAAGAAGTCCATAGAGCAGCATGAGGATCTCAAGGTTCATGTCAGAGCTTGTGACATGCCTCTCCCTTTGCAGAACCACGCCTTCCATTATGCACGTCTCCACTTGGAATCTCTGCTACCTGGCACCAAACTTGACAGCAAACTCCTTGCACTTTCCCTTAAAAAGGTTACATATATATTTATATAACTCTTTCTTTTTCTTGTATCTTCTGGGAAAATTTTCAAAAATCTGTTTTTGGGGTCTGATCTTTGACCCATGATGCAAAGTTGCAATAGAGTCTGACTTGGAAGCTTTTGGAAAAATGGTGTTATTGGTTCTAAATGTCTTGGCTGAGTAAAATTAGTGACTTTTTGTGACTGCATATTTAATAGAGCAGAACTTAGGTGTGATTCCTTCTTTACTTTAAGTACTCTTCTGTAATATAAACCTTTTGTAATGGACATTACTGAGGGAAAATTCTACCTCTGATTTGAGAATCACACCAAAAAATTTGATGACCCATACATATTTGTTTTCTCTTATTTAATATTGACTCTTTGATTTGCCTAGCTCTTATTATTGTTTAGAAATGAATAATGATGTTACATAATTAAGTATATAGCCAAATTTCTATGCACATTTTGATTTTGGGTGTTGGTATTAGGTTAATTGGGTTACATCAATGGAATATGCATAGTGGATTTCTGCTTCAGTCAGCTTATTGAAACTAACCTTTTTCTTTTTCTTTGCCTTCTACGTGGTAATTTTTGTTGTGTGTGTATGTTGGTTTCTCATCCTTGCCAATGGTATCTTGAAAGCACACATGGTTTGGTAATCTTTTTCTTGTGTTTTATTCAGTATGCTGAAAGAGTGGGTTTTGAATACTTGTAGTGTTGGAGGGATATTTTTTTCTAATTGTTAACTGATTATTGAACTCTGTATTTTGATCCCACAGTCTGCATATTCTTTCTGGCTTTCTGTTCTATTTTTGACCTTAAATAACTTTCCAAATCATTCTCTACAAATCTCTGAACTTTGTTTATGCTTCGCAGTTATTAGGTGGTTCCATTAAGTTTTCTGTTGCTTTTATCTCACTTTCCTTCTCAAATGCACCAAAGCCACACATTCTGAGCTTGCAAAAGCCCTTACTTTAATCTGGTGCTCATAATTCACCAATACTAGGAATTCAGTTCCATTTTCCCTCTGAATCTTTTTCTTTTTATTATAATTTGAAGTCTTGTAGCGGGGTATTTTGATAAATAATGTGGTACGATTTCAGATCTGATGCCATTTTCTGAAAACCTTTACTTTTTCCTTTATCTCTTATTAGTGTTCCTGCTCTACAATCCCGAGTTATAAAAAGTAGTAAAAGTTAAGAAAAGAATAGAACTCAAACCAAATAGGCCTTACCTTGTTTGCAGTATAGGACTTGAGCTAAAACGATTTTTCTCTTTTCTTCTTATCCCAAAATGTTTTTCCACTTCTTACTTGTAAAGGGTACATGGTAACATAGCTGATCAAATATGTAAATGTCTTAAACATGGGTTGAATATTCTCTCAGTCGTTTTGTTAATGATATCAAACAAGTACACATGTGTAAAGGGTGAACCAATGGATAATGCTCCTACCAAATGGGGTTTGGGGAGAGTAGGTATGTCCTCTTTTAGTATATTAAATTAGAGGTTTCAGATCTGATGAAGATCCTAAAATTATTGGTTTTCTTTGGGAAATTAAGCAATTTATAAATGGAATTTTGTCATTGAAAGGTTTTATTATTCAATAACAAGTTACGGGACTTGAGTCCCATAGTAGATGTACAAGATTCTGTGGGATTTATAAGGCCTTTGCCTCTCCAACTACGACAACTAACTTTTGTGGTGTGATTCTTCTTTATATCATCGCGGGATAATTGTGCAACTTTGTGCAACCTTGTGCAACCTGCAACCTGCAACGCTATCTTCCTAAGCTATTGTTCTACCAAGAATCCAATTGGTGACCGTGGTTCTGATACCAATTGTTACAGCAAATACTTATTACTTGGTCAAAGTTATACTTGATAGTCAAAACACAACTCTTTATGTTTAAGACAATACCAGTCCAAGTGTCATGATTTGATTGTGACTTTACTAACCTGAAATGGAACCATTGATATATCCTACAACAATATCTTCTAGCTTGCAATGTTTGTGTAAGGCTAATAAAAGGACTACATAGAAGGTCCAATGTTAGGATCTAGTATCGTATTCATAAGCCTTGCGCTCTCCAACTACAACATCTAACTTTTATGGTGTGGTACTACTCCCAAGGCTCTTGTACAAGGGATTCAAAGGATCAAGCTTGTACCCTTTAGATAGTAATTTGGAGAGAACACAGTTGTAGTTACAATGAAGTGTTAAAACTAGTTTTTGCATTTGGTTTTGGTCAAGAATGCATGGATTTTTCATGCTGAGTTCTATAGCTATTTGTATACTATAGAACTCAGCATGAATGCACAGGTGATCATAGAAAATAGAAGGGCATGTTGAGATGCAGAAAACGTACTTGTTGCAGTCATGAATAAAGATTTTCAGCAATTGTTGATGTTGTTGACCTCAGGCTTAGTCATTTTCAGTTAAATAGTGAAGGTGAAGGTGGGTATCCTTATGAGTTTGGTATCTTTGTGGTCCTCTGAGGATTGCATTACTCTTTTTGCTGTGACTCTCCAGGGTTGCCAAAAGATATTAAGAGTTATAATAAATTGGAAAGTATGTTAGGTATGTTGGTTGTAAAATTAATAAATAGGCTGCGTGGTATAGGTTTGATTTTCTGATGAAAATGTTATTTGGTCCTTCATTTCATTGATATGGCCTTATGTTGTCAGATGATATTAAAGGTTATTAGAATTCCTATTACACAAACGGAATGGATATCCAGTGTCTGTCCTCTGAAATGAATGTCAGTGAAATTTTTATTACTTATGGGACAGATTTTATTATTAGCTTGCTTCATCTATTACGCTCATAATTTTCATTTTTTCTCAAAGTTTGTGTGGATTAAAAAGTTTTACTTTTTTTCTTTTCTTTTGGCTCTTCACTGATTTCAAACGGACATTACATGAAAAACTATTGCTGAATATTGTCCTTTTTTTCCTCCCTCTTGAGCTATGTATGGTTTAGTGTAAAAGTTCTAAGTTTTGTTTTCTGGTATGAACAAATTAGATGGCTAATGATAGAAACTTAATGGGTTTTCAGGAATTTGATTCTTCATATGGTCCAGCTTGGCACTGCATTGTGGGTACTAGCTTTGGGTCCTATGTTACTCATTCTCTTGGTGGATTTTTATACTTTTCCATTGATAAGGTTTATATCCTTCTCTTCAAGACAGCTGTTGAACCATTGGAGCATTGACAACTTCCACAATTATGAGCCATGCTTCTTTGGGATGATGTATTTTAAAATTTTAAACCGGCTGATATGTAAAATTAAGTGAAACATTTAAATACTGTATTTTGTGATGTAACTGATGCACTTTTCAACAAGAAAGAGAGTATTCTTGGATGCAATTTTGTTTGGATTTGTAGTGAAAGAGAGCATTTTGAAAGCAGAATTTGTTGTGGCAAGACACTAGATTTAAATATTGTTCAGCTCAAAATAACATTTTATAGAATTAGTCATGGTTGATAACAGCACATAGAAAAATGTTTACATGTCCTTCGATTTATCTTAAACATTTCGTTTATTTTTGTTGAAGCAACGTGCTTTGTAGATGCAAGGCATGGAACTAATTATATGAAGTTTAGAGATCATCAAAACGGATTTTATACTTTCAATAGAGTTTGACAGATTATCAAACTCAATCTGCATGAGTTTATGGAATTTTGTAGAAAGATACAATAGTAAAGTATAGGAGTCCATTGATATTAAGTAGAATTCAACTAAGCAAATCGTCAAATCACATGTAAATTCATAGAAACATAGATTCTTGCTGTCAAAAGATTTTAAAAAAAAAAAAGTAAATTTGAGTCATACAGTAAAATGTAAGGGCATATATTTTTAGGAGCATTAGATGAGAAGATTTAAAGTTTAAATAGTGATATATGTGGAGATAAGAAAAAATAATTAAGAGATGGTTGAATTTTGTTTAAATTATTTTTTTTAATTTTCCACAAATTTAGTATGATAAAAAGTACTCAAATTATGGTTTTGTATTACAAGTGATCAGTTAGTGACTCTTGTATTTGATGAAGTTTATTAGACACAACTTTGTGACTTTACCAACTTATTTGCTTAAATTTCATATATGATTCCTCATCATATATCCCCTTTTTAAGTTAATTCAAATGATGATAAAATGCAATGTAAAAGAATAAGGAGAAGGAGAGATTTGATTCATTTGACCATGCAAACTACATTCATTCTTAAATTAATAGATTGAGTTTCACCAAACAAACTGCTGCAAAGTAAAAAGTGACTTTAGACTTGTAATCATTGTTAGCTATCCTCTTGAGTATTGTTTGGACTTGTACCAACTCTTCTAATCTCTTGATTATTGTTTGGGCTCAGCCATTTCTGGCTAACTCATTAAGTATTGTTTGGACTCGTAGTCACTCCTTGTTAAGATCAGACAATCCAATACATCTCACCTGACGATCCAATCTACATAAAACCACTTCATAGTTTTGATGATAACAAACACTCTTAGTAATATGGATTAATATCACATATAATATGTTTAACATGTATGTTCATGCACTTGAAGGATTCTTAGTCAAGTTCATTTTAGTCTCATATCAAATCGTTTATAGGACCTGGCCTGGCGCTTTATCATACGATGTTTGATACTTCAAATTCAATTTTATTTCCTTTTTAACGAATTTAAATGAAATTGTAACGATAGAAACTTTTCTAGATAAACAAAAATGCTCGAAAGACTTCATAAATGAATAATATATTTGTGATTTGAAGAACTTTAAGTGAGCAACCCTATTTTTATCTCTTAATACGAAAACACACATTTGAAATAAGTTATCTTATGCACTTTTAACTGTTTTATTTCACTTAATTGCAAAATTTTCATATTTTAATTGAATTGTTTCCTTTATAAAAAATGAATGTGAGAGTGCCCTGATGAATGCTTTGGAAATCTCATCAGAGCTTTCCTTTTCGAGCGTCTATCATAAAAAAAGATGAAGATACCTTTCAAAGTTGATATGCAGAATGCTTTGGAGATCTCATTAGATCCTTCCTTTTTTAGCATCTATCATAAAAAAAGATGAAGATACCTTTCAAAGTTGATGAGCAAAATTTTCATAATCAAGAGATATATGATGTAAAGCTTGAACAAACATTTTCTATAAGGAGTTCAAGTCAAAGATGAAGAAAAACAAGATACAACAAACGAAACATGAACACAAGATTCATATAGTGTCTTACAAAGTCTTTTTATCAATCGTTTAGTGTTTTCAAAAGTTGGTGTGCGAAAACCATTGTAATATTATTCCCTCTGTCAAATTTTCCCTATGAACTTACAATATGCTCTTGTTAAGGGTTTTTTTTTTTATTCTTAAGAGTTCTTAATCTAAGGGGTAGATGAAGGAGATGTAACTTGGAGAGGTGTGAAAACTCATGGTAACTTAAAGAGGTTTGTGTATTCGCTGTAATCATTTTGTTTTATTACTAGCCACTTTTAAAATATGATTGGATGTAATCCATGAGTTTCGGTTAACTAATATAAAAGCTTCTATGCATGTTTGATCTTTATAAATTAGATGATCTAGTCTAGTGTTATATGAGAAAGAGTTTACAAGCTCTATTCAATGCCCCACACCCCTTCCCCATGTCCCGTCTTCTAGAGTCTTTTAGTTTTATTACTTCTAAACCCCTTGACCTTCTTGGCTTAACCAAGTATTCTTTCATACAGACTAGGTGGTTGTTGGTAGTAATTGAAGTACCTGAAAAATACTAGAAGAGGAGGGAGAGGTGTAGTTGAATAGTGTTAATCGAAAAACTTTTTCGTAACCCTCCTTATATACCACTTTCGTCGAGTACAAGATTTTTCAAGTAGTTGCTAAAGGGTCGACTTTGTAAATGATTTGAATCAATGAATTCTTTTCTTCGTGCTATATAGGATATTAATTGTAGTGTTTGTAAGAGCTTTATTTTTAATGAACATTGGTTTAGTATGAAAAACTCTTGTATTTAAAACTAAAATGCAACTACAGGTTTAATAAGAGAAGCGTTTAAACAAAAGTAAACAATAAGTGCACAATTAATTTTATACTGGTTCACTCCAATTGAGCTACGTCAAGTCTCCTCTATCCATAGAGGGTTCTAGTATAATAATCAACAAGATTACAATTGAGTATTCTCACCTCTCTCCTAGTATTCTCAATCAACGAACAAGATTTCAACAAGAGTATTGCTTGACTTTTTTTTTCTCAGTAATTATCTTTTTTTTGAGCTATTCTGTGCTTCTGTTTTGAACGCTTTTCTCAGGATGGATATTTTCGTTGTATGATATCCTCTTGATTCTTGCTTTGAGTGTTCTTCTATTTAAAGGCTTTTAGAGAAATATATGTTAGAGTGAACTCTTAGCCTTGATTCTTGTGTTTTTTCTTTCTTCATGTACAACAATCGTTGATTAAAGTCAACTTCTCAAGCAAGCTTGCTTTTTTAGTACTTTGTTTGAAGTATGTTGTACTTTCTTTGAGACACTACTTCTCAAGTGATGAACATTCCGTGAATATCTCTTTTGTCTCTAACGTCCACTTTTGATATTTTGAATAAAGCATGTGGATGTGTGTAGAGTAGGTTAAATACAAAGAATAAAGTAGATTGCATGCAGTAGATATGTCTTTTTTCTTATCACTTTTTTTTTTGAACGTTAAGCATTTAATGTCATTTAATGCTTGCTTAGAACAAGAAAGTGTTTTTCATTTTCTATCGTTGAGGTGATAACAGTTGAATATACCGTTATCTATGATATAATTTTGATACTAAACGCACCCTTTTTGACTTAGAAACTTGTTTGAACCCATGTTTTTGCTTTAGTTTTGCGAATAAGTGAGTAGAGGTTATACTTTATGATTTTATCACTAAATTCTCTTTATTTTGTAGCTAATAATGTGCCTAGAAGAATCTCCAACAATATATAGAGCTGTATAGAGCTGAATCAGTCATCAAAGCAAGCAAAATAACAAAAAAAAGTGAGTTTTGGAATGCTACCGCCAACGCTGAGCGCCCCTGAGGGAGGCTGAGTGCCATTTTTTTCCCGCACACCGCATGGGCACCCCACTTAGGGCGCTGAGCGCCAGCGGCGTGGATTTGGACCCGTTTTCTGTTATTTTTTTGATCTATTTAAGGACTTGGACGTCCTAGGGATTGTATCTCTTGATGGCTTGAGCACAGAAACACATTTTTCACCCCTTGGAGGTAGATTTGGGGATGTGGGAGCTTTCCTCTTTATTTTTTAGGGTTTTTCTATCTCTTCTATTCCATTGTTCATCTAGTTTCTCCATGATAATGGAGAACTAAACCTTATTTGTTGTTGGGAGAAGATGTAACCTCTAAACTCTCATGTATTTGAATTGATTCTTATTTATTTATGATTCTTTCATTAATTGTTAGGGTTATTCTTCTTTGCTCTATGCTTGTTATGTTTAACTCATTCATGACATGATTATTGGTTTTCGTGATATGGACACATACGGGGAAACCTAGATCTGGATAATTTTCTCCCAAAAGTACTATTGCCTAGACATAGGGATATGAGTTTTGGTCATCTTAAGCTTCTAATCGTAATGCAAAATTAATTACTAGTGATATAAGACATTGTGATCTAGTAATTAAGGATAGACTTTCTTTGCCGAGACATTGGGTTTTAAGTAATTTAGAAAGTGATGTTAACAATTGAATGAAGAAGATGAATTCTTATATGCTTGAGAGTAGACTAGATGAAATCTAGACCCCAACAACATATTCATCTCATATTTTCAACTTCATCCATTCATTCTAGTGTTTAGCCTCAATTGATCAATTTGCATTCATATTTACTTTTTTGTTTTGCATTCAAAAACCCTAAAATTGTTCTTCAAAGTCTTAATTAGTTAAGTAATTACATAACTGTCTAGTGCCGTGAGTCTCTTGGGAAACGATACTTGGTCTTACAATTTATTATTACTTGATACGATTCGGTACACTTGCCGATATCTTAACAAGTTTTTGGCATCGTTTGACATTTAAGCTTTTCTTCTAAAATACCAAGCATTGAGAAAGAACTTCATCGTTGAATGAAGAAACAATTTTAGCTCATGGTATCATCTAGACTAATGTAAGCGTTTTTCGTGATTTTTCCTTTTTAGAGGAAGAGCGTTTAACAAGTTATGTTTTCTTTTACGTTTTAGGTTTAAGCTTTTTAGGGTGTTTTTATCAAAGACATAGTCTTGACACTTTCTCTATTTTCCCGAGATTTCAATTGAATACCCCTTAGGTACAATATAACTTACGCATTTAGCATAACTCTTTTAGACACTTTGACTTTTAGTCGTTTAGCTTTGCATCTGGG